AAAATGATAGGAAACATGTAGTAAAAAAATGCTGGACAAAACATATTGAAAGCCCACGAAGAGGATGTATTGGAAAATACAATGAAACTTGAGGAAAACATGATAACGATCAGAGGAAAATGCTAGGAACAAACCATGCAAAATCTGTTGGAACATGGAGGAAACCGGAGTGACTGCTAGGAACAAACTCTGACGATGCAGTAAACATGTTGGAAAAAGACAGTGAAAGTGCAGGAAAATGCGATAACAACCAGAGGAAATGGTGCAAAAACGATCGGAAAATGAATGAGACGGGTAAAACTCTTGGAAAAATACATTGAAAATGCAGCAAGCCAGAGGAAATGATGCAAAAAGGAGACGGGTAAAAATCTTGGAAAAATAGATTAAAAATGCATGAATAGATTGAAAACCCACGAAGAGGATATAGAAACTGCAGGAAATCATGATAACGATCAGAGGAAATCGTGCAAAATCCACTGGAAAATGGTGGAAAGATACACTGAAGGAAAATGTGATAACAACCTGGCAGGAAAATGTGATAACAACCAGAATAAAGGGTGCAAAATCTGTTGAAACATGGAGGAAACCGGAGCGACTGCTAGGAACAAACTATGATGATGCAGTAAACATGCTGGAAAAATACAGTGAAAGTGCAGGAAAATGCGATAACAACCAGAGGAAATGGTGCAAAAACGATCGGAAACTGAAGGAGACGGGTAAAACTCTTGGAACAATATATTGAAAATGCATGAAATGCAGGAAACGATAGGAAATGGTACAAAAAGCCATAGAGGAAAGCGGTGAAAATGGTAGGAAGCATGTAATAAAAAAAGCTGGACAAAACACAGTGAAAACCTACAAAAGAGAAGAAAGTAACCACAGGAAACGGTAGAAAAAGCAGTGGAAACTGGAAGAAAAGTTGTGACAATATTAGGAAAACGGTGTACAAGCTAGGAAATGCTTGTAACAACTAGAGGAAACGATGTAGAAAACAGTACAGCATGGAGGACACGCGTGAACATGCTAGGAGGCATGTAACATGTTAGAAAAATACAGTGAAAACCTAGGAAAATGTTATAACTAAAAAATGCTTTAAAAAATATAGTGAAAACCAAGACAATGTCAACGAGCGGAAACGTTGAGCAGGAAATCCGATTTGGTTTCTGTAGATAATGTTAGATGATGAGCAATGTAGTTTGGTGATAGGAAATAGTGGCTGACTCGCGTACAAGACATTGCCATGAAACCTTGGAGCAAGATGCGGATGGTATAGGAAAAAAGATGTATGAGTTGTAAGATTTTAGGAGTTGCATGGGAAAATTGGTTTCATGGTAATCTGTGTGAAGTTAGAAAAGTGTGATTTCGTTCACAGAGTAAGAAAAATAAATACAATCTGCAGATTAGAGTATTTATAATGCTTAAAGCTGTTTGACGTTTTTTGGTGCCTCCCTGATTCTGGTAGTTTTGTGATAAGAACTACAAAAACGATCTACTGGTAAACGGAAGGAATAGTCTTTCCGGTTTAGAACTGAGTCGACTGTCAAGTGATGCATAGGCTCCAGGCCTCTGGTTATTGTCACAAAGCATTGGAATGAAGATTGCGCCCAGGAGCCACCTAGGTTAGGAGACAAATGCTGTAATATCATTGTAAGAGGCCGTACTGAGAAGGCTGAAACAGAACTAAAAGTGAATCTTGTACTAAAACATCGAGAAAGAATTTGAATCTTCTAATGGCAATGACGGGAATGATATGCATCTGTACGTCCGTGATAGTATGTGTGCCTTTTAAAAGGGATGTTTGGCGAGTGTGATAGCTGAGAAGATTTTCCGGGATGCCAAACAATTATCTCTATCGATGTCAGGGATGATGCTATTCCGCGACATTTCCTGTAAAATACCTATTTTCCAGACCCTTGGGGGGTGGGGGGGGGTACCCAGGTCTGTAAATGGCCTAAATATATATACTTTTGATTTGGACTGCATGTTCGCCACTGTTCTATATTTCCCGTGGGTTTTGCATTGTTTTCCTCGATTTTCATTCGTTCTTATACCCTTTCTTACGTATGTTATAATATTGTCTTGGGTTTGCACTGCCCATTTTGCGAGTAGAGCTATGTTTTGATTTCTCACCGTACGGCCAAAATGTTGCGGAACTTCGCGGAGAAGCATGGACCACGATTCTGGGGAGAAAACAATTTAGACTTTGAGAGGTCACATGACCACTGTTCACACAAAAAAGCGGGTATTATTTATCTACAATAGGTGGGAGCAAACTTGCGCTGTTTTAAGATAAATGAGCAACCAAAGGCGGATTTACGGAACTTGAGATAGAACTTTTCACAATGCCGCAGTACATTGTAGGAAACATATTTGGATATAGAAGTTACAAAATCGTGGAGTTTACCCTAAAAAGGTCCATTTAATGATTGGAAAATTATGACCCGATAGCAATTGTTGATGTTGGGGCGCTTCATGTTTGAGCCATGCCATATGGATGAGGTGGAGTTTCACGCGCCCCCGCGCGAGTCAAAAAGCAAGCGCTGGCTTTCGTTCCACCCCTTCTCAGGTATATATACACGTATACATGTTATGAATGATTAGGAAGTTGTCGCAAAACTCTCCCGAGCTTAAGTGTCTAAAACTATACTTAAACATAGTTGATGCAAAGAAGGATGTGCCGTTTGTTGATTCTTACTTCTTATCCAGTTCCAGCCATGGCCGACGGTGACCATGGCTACCCGAAGCCGGAGCAGATGGAGTCACGACTGGTGGTCCTTCTGTGTGGAATTCCAGGGTGCGGAAAGGATGTCATCGGCCGAAGATGCGCCAGCTCTTTGAATGGTGCCGCACTCTCCCAGGATGAACACAATGGCAATGCTGTGGCGACCCAAGCAGCCTTGGAGTCCCTGCTGGCTCAAGGACTTTCGCCCATCTTCATTCTGCGGAACGGCGTGGAAGTGGGCGACCGGTTGCCCTACGTCGTGGCGGCGCGACGCGCTGGATATCGAGTCACAGCTGTTTGGCCGGAGGAGCTTAGCACAACATCCAGGAGGGCTGCATTATTTTTGGCCAGTCTGGCAGGTTGCTATGGTCGTCTGACTTCTGGAGGCCGAAGTGGCCATGAAACTCTGACCATAACTGATGGACAGCTGGCAAAACCTGCCCAGGTCTGTTTGAACTTTCTACAGATGTTTCGGGCACCGTCGGCACCAGGAGAAGTAGATGCAGTTCTGACCTTGCCATTTCTGCAATCAGATGAATCAGACCTTGGAGATCTTGGGGACCTGAAGTTGTCTGGTTTTGGAAAGGGAAAGGTGCTACCAGAAGTGGTGCAGGAGGTGTTCGAAGGTGACTTTGAGAAGGCGAAGGAGAAGATGATGCGCTGGGGGACCATGCGTCGGTCCGTGCAAGACATTGCTGATCCGCTTACTGAATGGGCGAAGCAGCAGATGTCACAGAAACCATCAGCCAGCACCTTTTCCATGCCTTCAACGGACACGAAAAAGCTGCAACGCGCGGCAAAGATTCGCGCAGCGGTCGAACATTTGGTGTCACCCTACAACCTGTCAGCATGCAGAGATGGTGGTACCACAGTGACAACCTGCAAGTGGTTTACCATCAATGAGCGCTTGTGCCCTGCATGGCCTACCAGCTACTTTGCAGGAGCTCCGCAGTTGAAGAAGTGGGGCACTACTGCGGAGGATGTGTTGGATGCGGCCAAGGAGAGCTGTCAAGCACAGGCTGCACTTCAAGAAGGGGACAAAGGTGTCCGTGTCCAGCTGCTGAATCAAGATGGTGGAACCTATGTAAGCCCTATGGAGCCATTGCCGGAAGCGTCTTTGAGAAAGCTTCGCTGTCCCGATGTTGCGCGGGCAGGCTGAAAAAACGAAGAGAGTGGGTGCTACTCACTTTTCTTGCAGTGCTTTTTGTTTGCCCTTACAAATTGAAAAAGGCTTCAGGATTTCCCAGTGATTTCTACCCATTTAATCTTCTGCCAAAAAATGGCAACTCATGTACGACTTTCAGATATTCAGTGACATGAACTCACCTCTGGCAGGGGCAACGGCGCCACATCAAAGATCCAGCCGCTCGACTTTCAGTTCGCCGCAGATAAAATTACCTGCGTTGGTCCAAAGATGGGGTACATACCCAGATTAGGGGGGTTTCCTCAAATGGGGGTACCCCCAAATCATCCAAGTCATGGATGACCATTTTAGTAAACCAATAGTGACTTGGGGATCCCCCTAGGCTTAGGAAACCTCCATGTTGAATCATATTGATACATTCCACTGAAAACTGGCTAGTCTAAGGAGGCCTCCGGGGAGGAGACGCAAAGGACTGCAATGGCTCTCTCCAAGGCTGGGTTGTGGGTCCAGGTACCGATTTGGTACCCGATTTTTGACCATTCCAGGGATTTCGCAGTGAACTGAGCTCTCCACAGGTCACGGTGATGAGTTTTTGGGGCGGATCCACAGGAGCTCGTCAAAGGCGTCGTGGATGAAATCTTGGCACTTCGCATCGACTATTTCACGAGAAACGTGAGCCGCCGGGGTTAGGGTTACACAACTTGCTCCATGGTTTTTTTGAGTGTGGTACAGTAATGTACTAAATGTACAGTACTTGGATTTTTCTGATGGTAACCACACTTTCTCCATATTTTCTTCAAATTTCACCAGGTACCAACCTATGCTGATTGGATCGTGGAGAGACTTGGCGAAAGGTGTATCTTTGAGGGGTTTTCAAAGCCCATGGCTGCCCATGGCTCCCAAGGTTTCTCAATGGCTACTTGCTGCCAAAGTATCGAGAGGAGCAGAGCTTATAGATTCAGCCTGAGTTTCGATCTTTGTAGATGCAGGAGTTTTTGGTAGACGGAACGGGAGAATTTTCTGCAGCTTGTGGTTCAATGCAGAGCTGACGGTTTTGCCGTTCTCTGCCATTTTTGCAGTTTGCCCATGGCGTTTCGCTGGAGCCGGCTGGCTGGTGCCGCGCGAAGGCTGGCGATACCTGCTGTGGTCACGGCCAGCGTGGCACCCTATGAGAGACGGCCTCTCCAGTTTGAAACGAGGTCCTCCCAGTCGTCCCAGTCTCTGGAGGAACGAGTGCGAGTGCTAGAGACCAAAGCCAGAGCTATGGAGCTCAATGATTGGATGGAAGTTCGGGACCTGACCTTAGTATGGGAGGGATCCAGGGACTCAGAGTGGAGAGGGGGTTGGGGTGCTATACTTTTTGCTCTCAAAAGTCATGGGTTGTGATTTCCCCACGAAGTGGGCATTGGATCCAGATTGAGGCGGTAGAGACCATCAAACTGGCTGCCAAGCAGCATGGTCTCGACATCTCTGGCGGGATTATCCGTCGAACCTCTTCGCGCTTTTGTTTGGGTGTGGAACATGGAGACTACAACGGCATGGAGTTGTTTGGAGTTGGCACCGACCGCTTCATTTGGATGGGTTACAAGCCCAACGATTCTGGAAAGATTCGCATTTTTTCTCAAAACTTTCCAGAAAAAGTCGTGGAGTTCAGACCCCAAGAGGTGCCAGCGCCCAAATCAAGCTCCATCTCCGACACCTGGGCGCGGTTTCCCTATGGCGTTGAATATGTCCTTCGGAGCAACGGATTTGACACTTCACGCGGCTTTGATGCTGTGATGCTCGGATCTGAAACAAGGGATGCTATGGATGCTATGGATGCTATGGATGCTCCGTTACCGTAGATAAGCAATGATAGATACAATATACAAAAGAATCAAAATACGATATGCATTCATATAAATAGTTCACATGCATGTACACACATATATATATATATATTCATATAATCATATATATATATATATATCTTGCATGCAAAATGCAAGATTCAGCTCTGTACAGCACAGTCACAGATTGTCGAAGGAAATTTCGATGAGAAGCTTCCTATGCGTCAATCACTCACTACATTGCTACATGACTCACCGCACAATTCACTCCCTACTTCACTCCATTAGCTCCGGAACTGAAAACGAGGCTTATGGGCAATATCCCTGGTGGAGGTATGTCTCGATCGGCTTCACTTGCCAGGCTCCCAGCGGCGAACAGCCAATCAGTGCAGATTGCACCGATTTTCCGGCCAAGGTCATCAATCTTATGCTCACCATGTTAGAAGTGAACAAGAAATCCCTGCCAGAGGGTGATTTTCGGATTGTGCCTTAAATGCACAGGAGATTTGGAAATTGCTCCAATATGAACACTTGCTTGTTGTCTACCGCATAAGGTGAAAATGGCACAGCAAGTGGAAAATGACTACATTGGAAACTTGTTCGCAAAGTCCGATGCTTGAGCGTGCTTTCTCAGATGTGTTTTGTCTGAACATGGTTTACCAAAAATCCAATCATTTTCATTTTCCCCACTAACATTGCAAATTTGGGTGTAATTGCCAAGCCGGCCAAGCCCAGATGAATGTTTGAAATCCGCGGAAGGAGCACCTTGTGGCAATTTGGACCAGATCATGATTTACTACGCAAAAGATGGAATGGGCACGAGATACGACCCAAAGACCAACAAAGTGCATGGCCTCAGACCGGTTTCGACACCAAGCATTTCTTCGGACATGGTAAGAGCAGTCAATGTGTACCGCAATGATCAACGATTGAAAACACTCATGGAATACCCTCTGGTAAACTAACGTAACTATGGAAAATCACCATTTTGAATGGATAACTCCACTGTAAATGGCCATTTTCAATAGCTTTTTGTATGTTTACCAGAGGGTATGATCTCTTGACGTGGCAGGTTTCTTATATCCCGTTGGGAGTTGACACCAATGAATTTCGAATAGCTGCATTGGACACCGGCACGGTCCGGCACGGTCTGGAGAAAACCACCTACGCAGTCCGAGTACAGGATGGGTTTCACAGCAACACAAAACCTCCCATTAGGGGATGGGTTTTAATCCTATATATTATATATGGTGATATTGGGGATGGTTTATGATGGTTTATGATGGTTTATGATTGTGGCATTGGGTTTTTCCAACATTTCTACTATGATCCCGAACATGATGAGTGCAGGTGATCCCGCCAGGAGTGCAGGGAGTTCTTGGCCTTGCTGCAGAAGAATGGCTACAGGATCCAAAGCCTTGGAGAGGTCAAAGATCGCAAGACCTATGAGCCTCGGATCTCAGGGGTCTCATTGGCACAGCCCGAGTCGGCAATGTGAAAAAAGTGGGGATGCACCAGTGGATTTCTGGGAAAAATCCACCACTTTGGACAAAAGCCAGACTGGTGATGTTCCAGCTTATTGATTCAACTTGCACTTTTACCGGGTCATAGTCTATTTGATGATCAAGACCACGGCTTTCTGGACAATTTCCCTTAAATCAGCCCATTCGAAAGTGCAGTGCTCAACGTGATCCTCAGCATCAAGCAGCCACACACTAATACTTTCCAGGTTTTCCATGATTTTTTTCGATTGCTTGATGTTGATGTCGGCCGAGGACGAAATCATTGCCAAATATGGGAAATCCCATCCAAATCTTTGCAAACGCCTGGAGTATCTCTTCTTTGCGCAGGAACGCTTTGAGGCGATGGTGAAAGCCTGGAGGGAAGGAAACATCGCCGAGGCCGGCGACATCGCCACTTGCGGCGGTAGCAAAAAATTAAAGGACCTCCAAAGGGGGAAAAATCATGATTGGGTTTAGGACATATGCTTCATATGCTTAACAAATTTAACAAACAACACTTATTCTTTTTTGCAGATCTTGCTGTGGAAGAGATGTGTGCTGACAAAGGTCGGTGCAATCTTCCGCCGTGATGGGATTGGGCTTCGCAACATGTTTGCACCGCCTTTCCTTTCGGAAAAGTTGGGTTGGTGGAAACAAGACAGAAGCAAACTGCTTGAAGATTGCATATCCTTTGATTGTTGGTTTGCGCCCATAGGTACAAGTTCATAGCAAATCGATAAGTCAACTGGTGTCATTGGCATGCTGAGGAGATGAATATCAGATCTCAGGACCAGAATTAGAGGCTCGGGCAATGAGCACCAGACAATGTCAACGAACATGAGACTTTCTTGAAAGTTCACAAGACATGGCAGAGACCCATGGGGTTGTCCGTGAAACGAGAGTCGAGCAGGTAGTAACAGGTAGTAGAATTGGGGTAGGATTTTTTTTTGGGTCATGCCCAGTTCAAAGAATTCAAACCAAGCATTTTCCAGAATTTTCACCCATGAGCTTCTCAAGCGCCAGACCATGGTCAACATTGCCAGAACTATCCCGGGTGTGCTTGGCGAACGTATGCTGGGGGGTGGAGACAAGGCCCCTTTGTTTTCCAAAATCGACTGGGACTCCGGGACGGTGGTTGATCTGGAGATGAATTTCACTCCAAAACTCAGTTGGAACATTTGGAACATTGGTTTAGTATGGGATAATGATGGTTAATAATGGTTAATAATGGTTAATAATGGTTAATAATCACTTGTTGGTGGTTTCAAACATGACTGGATTATTTTCCATAATATTAGGGATAATCCCAACCCCATTGACGAACTCATATTCTTTAGAGGGGTTGAAACCACCAACCAGTTTTGATCGCCTAGTTCGACAATGTTAGACATACCATCTGGTTATTCAACATAGCCATGGAAAGATCCACCATTTTTAATGGGTAAACCATCTATTTCTATGGGCCATGGCTTCCATGGCTATGTTAAATAACCAGAGGGTAGTTCTTTTTTTGGATGTTCACTGGCTCACTGGGGCTGGGCCATTTGAGCTTGAAAGAAGCCTTGCAGGGTGCCTCTGGCGCTATTCTGCGACCAGATGCGGAGCGATCACTGCGAAATGCTGTGAATACTGGATACAAGAGATCTTATCCCCAACTGGCAGAGACTCCGCTGAAACAGAGTTGCCCACTTTGGCCTCCGATTTCCATGTAGTTTGCTCTAGTCGATATCCCAAGTTCTACAGATGTGCAAAAAACACCGGCATGTCCAGCGACCCAACATCACTGAGGGAGTCAAGTTGAGATCTGAGGATAAATGTGCGGTTCACGTTGTGAGAGCTTGCAAGGGTGTGGAAGTCCTGGAAGGCTTACTGTGAATGGAGCGGCCTCACAGCGTCTTGTAAGAGATTTACCTCCCGAACTATATTGAACCATATTGAAGCCACCTAGAAATAGCTGCCTTGCCATGTTCGATTTCCGAATGGCGCTATGGCCCAAAAGGCCTCAATATACCAAGGCGCTGGTTGCATTTGAATGCATCCCTTCCAAAATTCCTCCCGTGGCTTTGCCACATTTTGCCACATTTTGCCACATTTTGCCACATTTTGCCACCATGAAGTCCTGTGAAGTCCAACGTGTTTTCAGTCCTTGGCCGACTTTTGGACTTTTTCAAGTCGTGACGTCGTGGTGAGGAGAGCACTGCGTGGCAACTGCCAGATCCTCAGAGGTGAAGCTGCGACATGGACATGGCGAAGGGGCGATCCTGCTGAGGTTCTCACCGCGAGAGTTCCCAGCACTTAGCGACGAAGAGAAGCAGGCGGAACCGCTGGCTGAGTCCCAATTGGCACCAGTCGGGATAGATGGGATAGTTGATCATGCTTGGAATCGTCCAAGCTTGAGTTGCCTACTTTTGACTCACTATCCATATTCCGGCTCCTAAGAGTGTTTCGTAAGTCTCGGTTCTCTGAGTCTATCCATCAGCACATCGATGATTGACCGAAAGGATCATGTTGATTCGACCACAAATGAGCGAGGTGTACTACCGTAGATAGTCTACTCCTAGAATCCACCCATACAATCCTCATATTCTTGCCATTCTTATGGCATTTAAATTGGGTTGTCAATGCCCCATTTTTTTGATCCAAGCCACCATTTCTAATCATCGGCTACCAGGAAGGTCAGGCGGCTTTCCCCAGCATCACCGTCAGCAGCTCAGGGTTAGATGAAGCCTGGAGGTTTCCTGGGTAACCCCAATGGCTGGATGATTTGAGGCTACCTCCATTTTAGGAAACCTCCAGCCTGGGCTTCTTTAGGCCTAGACTGACTCTGGTGGGACTCTGACCAAGGTTCAGCACCGTTCATTAGATGCACCTGAGCCGATACGACTTAAGCCCAGGCAAGTGTTTCACTGAACCATGCTGATCATGCTGCACCTGCATCTATCTCACTTGCGGACAAGGTCAGTCTACTATGCAATTACTGGTTGGTGGTTTGGAACATCAATTTTATTTTTCCATTCAGTTGGGAATGTCATCATCCCAACTGACGAAGTCCATCATTTTTCAGAGGGGTAGGTGGCTCAACCACCAACCAGAGAAACTATGATCAACTATGACCAACTATAGTTCAATGAACTATGACCAACTATAGTTGCTACACCGATCGACCGCAGATTCGTCCAGGCGGATGCCTGTTGCTTCAACCTCGTGCTGGTCCTTTGCCGCGGTGGCAGGTCTTTGTGGCCTCACTAAGGTGGGCCACTTGTGGCGGGCGACCCCCAAATGCTAAAAACCTACCCGCCATGGTCATCGTGAGTACTGAGCTATATTTTATGCACCTATACCTATATGTATATAATTATATATATACACACATATCTATACATATATACACACACCACACATCTTTTTCTTTTTTTTCCTTCTCTCTCCTTCTGGATCAATGCTGCCTCAGGTGGGCTTTGGCGCCTGCGCCGCAGGGTGCCTGGCGGGAGCCGCCCAGCTGGGCCACAGCGCGGTGCGGACGGTGATCGATTCTATTGGCCACGGCAATGCGAGACGTTGGCAGTCGGCTGGGAGCTAAGAAAAATGGGGAGGTCATGAAAAATGGGGAAAGGTAGGTGTTTTTTGTTTTTTTAATGCCATCCGGAATTGGGAGTTCATGGTGTTTTTTTTTGATTTGAGATATGAATGGAACATCGAGAATGTTACCAAGGGATACACATGTAGAGAATTGAATGTATATATATATATGTATAATACATATTGTCAAGTTGGAGGTTATGGCCCACGAAGTCCAAACCCAACGGAAAGTGCGCCTAAGCGCTGCAATGCTTTTCCAAGAAGCACCGCTATGCGTTGCCGTCAAATGGCTTTAGCTGCCCACCACTGTTGAGTTGGAAAACAGCAGCGGGTAAAACATGACATGTATGTAAAAGGCCCATGTGCTCAAGTTGCAGCTGCAAACTTCACACGGGGGAGAAGGTACAAAAGAAAGAGAGAAAGCTCCTTTGGCATCTCTGGAAAATGGCGGTCACACGCCAGCACTGCTCGAAGAACCAAGTGCACGCAATCGTGCTTCCTCGTCCAAGATTGCCGACGCTTCAGCCAAGACCTCCGGGTCCTCATCGCTGATGCCATTTCCCATGAAGGCGTCCATGTCCTGGGCCAACGTTCGCTGGTTCAGGTCGTGAATGTAGGGCGTCACATAGTATGACGCGCAGTTGTCGCACGCATACCGTTCTATCACTTGACTATTGTGAAGCTGATAGCATTGATCGTCCAAGTGCCAGACACGTCCTCGGAAAACCTTGCACTGAAGGGCGAGGTGGAAGAACTTGTGAAACAAGTTCAGCAACTGAGCTTGCCTGGTGGACCAATTCTGGCCGACCGTGAGGTCAAGCGCTTGCAGCAACAGCTTCGATGTCTAGAAGATAGCTTCTGGCAGAAAGACCAACAGTGTGCGCGCATGCACAGGCACAAGATGGGCTACATACGCCAAATAGGAAGACTGAGGGCACTCTTCATAGAGGCCAAGGACGTGATTGGACGTGCACGTTCAGAAGCCCACAACCATGCGCACAATCGGTGCACAGTTGGAAGGCCTACGTACCATGCTCCACAATGGTCTTCTCTTCAAGGCGAGCTTCAAGACGGTCGCTTCGGATATGCCTCAACCTCAAAACGTGGTTGTGGCCAATCCACCATCCATGCATCCAACCCATGATGTATGTGCCAGCCACGAAGATCAGCAACGCTAGGAGCACAGCTGTGTCCCAGACGTAGTCCCAGAAGTAGGACTTCTCTTCGGGAATGATCTCGATGTGGGGGCACATCTCGGTTGAGATGGGATCGCCCAGAGGTTGAGCCATAGCACCAGGTGGCAGCCATAAAGCAAGCAACGCAAGCTTGAGGGCAAAGCGCAGCAATGCATGAACCATAAAAATCATCCAGTCATCCACATACTGTGTCTCCTGGTCGTAGGGGACGAGGTCAACCTGCGTGTACACAATCGGCACAAGGTTGTTGATGTTCACGTCATGGTCACGACGCAGCTCTGCTGGGGCTGTAACAGCCATGTCGTGGTCTTCCAAGATCTCGTCATAGGTGATGGCCTCATAGATGATTCGTTCATGGTGTTCAGCGAAGGTTTCGATGGGAGTCGTTTCATTGAGCTCGGTCTCTTCTGGGACAGTCTCCAGAGGTTTGGAAAACTCATCTCTGCTTGCAATTCTGTCTGCAAGCTTCTTCTTCTTGGCAGCGATGTAGTTGGGATCCCAGGACAGCTTGATGCGTCCATACCTCAGGCGGTCAGCAAGGAGCTGTCTGGTTGCCTCCTTGGTGAGGGAGTCGGCGTACTGCCGTTCACTCGAAATCCATTTGAGCTTGCCGCCAAGAGCTTCAAGTCCTTCTCGAAGAACCTTGATCTCCAGCCCTGTCCTCTTGTCAGTGAGGCCACTGCTGAGGCTTTCACGGTGATAGCTGTCATACAGCGCTTTGGCATCCGTGATGAGCGTAGGCTCCAGAGGGCTTGGCTTGTTCAGGATGTTCGCCAATGGCTCGTTGGGCTCCAGGAGGTGCTGGTAGTAGCGGCAAACAAAGTCCATGTTGTCGCACGCTTGACTGGCTGATTGGGCTTCTGCTCCAAGACTGGATCTGGCCACCCTTGGCAGTTTGGATGAGCGCCAGTCAATCACATGGTACGGCCCTTCAACTGCATCAAACGTAGTCTTGGGAACCAGCATCATGAGGTATCCTCCTTGAGATGAGCCATCTCGTCTGATGCCAAATGCAGCATCCACCATGGTCACCAGACGTAGGTCTTCAATGCCACATAGGTGCTCGTAGCACAAGGAGACATCGGAGTTGAGCTTGGCGAACTTCAAGAGGCGGTTGGCATCTTGTATGGACTTCACAAGTCCGGCAGAGAGTTGTCCAGCAAGAAGAGATGTAGAGCACTGCAAGTGCGGTTGGGACTGCGCTGATGGCCACTGAAGTGATCCCAGTAGACCTCGAAGTTGAGTGGTCTCTGCAGGAGTCATGTAGTCTTCAGGACCTCGGCCACGATGCAGTGCAATTGGTTTGACCTTCTTGAGGTACTCGGAGTGGTTCAGCTTCCATCCACCGCTGGGTGTCTTCTGAAGAGAGGCTCCGCAGTACTCAAGCTCATCCTGGTCCTTCCACTCACGGAAGTTGAAGATGTTGCGAAGCTGCTTGACCACGTGCTGGTACACCAGCGATTCTTCAAGGCCACCTCCCAGCATGTCATCAACATGTATGCAGGCCATGCCAACAATGCGTTCAGCGCCAAGACATTTGGAGGGGTCCGTGGCAGCGATGTCAGGGAAGTCAGTCTCGCAAATCAAGAAGGCACAGGGATCCAGGATGTGGGGTCGTAGTCCAATTGAAGTCAAACGTCGTGTGGCTTCCAGGAACCATCGCCTTGGGGCGTCAATCTGCCCATAGCAGGGTTTGCGCAGCAGCATGCGTGTAGAATCATCAGCGCCAAGGATGGTCAGCACCTCGCGTGGCAACTTCACCCAGAGTTGTCGTTCTTGAGGAAGTCCTTGTAAAAAGGCTGTGGCCACATCGGCTGTCCATCCGCACCACTTCAAAATGGCGGACAAGGAAAGGAACATGGATCGTGACAATCGGCTGGTTGTTGGTGCCGTTGTCTCAACCTTCCCCTCAAGAGCGTCCTGGTCGTTGTACCCTCGGACCACAAGTCGAGCTTTGGCTCGCGGACTTCCGTCCGGGTTCTTGCTCCATTTGAGCAGCATTCTTGAGGTAAGAGTTCGTTGTGTGTCCGTGTCTTTGACATGGGCAAACTCCCAGACTCCATTCTCAAAGAAGCTCTTGAGTTCCTTGATCTTGGCCTGCATGAACTGCTCACGTTCCATCATAGTCAGGCCTCGCTCATTGAGCTCTGAAGTGGGCTTCTTCTTGATGATTGCATGCTTGGCCTGTCGTGCCACTTTCTTTGCAGGGGCTGTAGAAAACATGGCAAGCTCCTTCCTGGTTGCTCCATTGATCTGGTAGATCGTCATGCCAGTCCAAGAAGACTTGGAAGCAGGAACCACAGCGTCATAGCGGTCAGTGGTGATCTTGCCTGATGCCATTGGGAAGTCGCATCAGAGTAACCCGTACAGGGTCCAGCTGCTTCAGCTCCAGAGGGCAATCCTTGGTCTTGGTGATGTCGTGAGGTCGATGCCGAGGTTGTAGATGGTGTCTGATGAGGCATCCAGCGCGGATCTCCCAATAGTCATGGTAGTTCTTGGTGTCAAGCTGGAAGTAACCTTCTTCATCGACACTCCAACCAGTTGGCAAGAAGTCACCACCAATGTCAGAGACCGTGAAGGCTTGGCCAATGAGCTCAGAAGCAGGGTCACATTGACCTGGGTGTTGTTCACCTTCGGGTGGATCCTGATCATATGGAGCATGTCTTTGGGCAGCTCGACGTCGCATCGGTCCAAATGGGCCAAACTGCATGGTTTCTTGTCGATCCATTTGTCGTCGACGCTGCAGGAAGTCAGGAGCTGTTGTAGGCTCGTAGAGGTGCATGTCTGTGGAAGTCACAGCAGGAGGTTGTACTGAAAGAGGATCTGCAGCATTCATCGGTGTGTTTGGGGCTGTTGCCATGATCGATGGTTCTCGACTGGGCTCAGGCTCGTCGACATTGATCAGTGCAGGTGGTTGTGGAACTGGATCAGGAGCCAGTAGGGCAGGATCAGCTGGTGCAGGTAGAACAGGAGGTCGTGCTTGGCCAGGGAACTCAGGGTGTTCCGCAGGAGTGTTCGCTGGGGAAGTTGGTGCCAAGCTGGGCTCATAGAGCTCTTCATCCTGGTTCTGCTGTTGTTCTCGGTCCAGCTGTTGCTGCATCTGATCCATGGCTTCCTCAAAGGAAGGTTCATCCTGCGGGATCATGTCATAGGTGGTTCGCTGTCGTCGTGAAGGAGGTTGTAGATCATCTCCACCACCCTCATCATCATCTGGCTCGGAACCAGAAGCCATCTCATCCTCGTTGAGTTCGTCAGGGTGGTGCCGCTTGTTGACCTTGTCGAGGTCCAAGAAGCGTGTCACGCCTCGAGAGCGAAGAGTCGCCACCTCTCGTCGAGCTTCCTGAGCATCAGCAAGTTGGGTGTTGGCTGCAGTGAAGTCAGCGCGCACATGGTGCGGTGAGCATCTGATGAGCTGGGTCTTGTAGGAAAGCCAGTAAAGCTCGGGCTTGTCATCTTTGGAGTGCTCGACCATCACAATCCGTGCAGGGCCATGCCAACGGATCTTGACCAGCTTGTCCTGGCGTTGGTCTCTCCAAAAGAAACATTTCTGGCCAATCTGCAGGGGCAAGTCAGATCCCTGATATTGGCGCAGCAGGGCCCGTCTGAGCTTGGCGTCCAGGTCAGCTGAAATCAGTGCTTTCTTTGCTGCAGCTCGTTGTCGAAGTAGTTGTTCGAATTGGTCATGGTCTCCAAGTTGTGCAGAACTGAGTTCATCATGTGAAAGTCCACCAGGCAAGCGTGGGATCTTTCCAAGCAGCCACTGTGAAGGCGTGTAGCCAGCAACGCTCAAGGTGTCGTTGAGCTGGGGCACCACGTAGGTCAGCGCCTGCCGAATGCCTTTGCTTCCGGAGACCTTCATGTCGTCCATGTAGATCTCGATGGCTCGGCGCAAGGTGGTGTGCCGGCGCTCCACAAGTGACAAGCGATGAGACTCAGCAGGTGCAACGATGTGCTCCACAGAGTGTTGGGTTGTCCAGGCATTCATCTCCTCACCAACCCATCCACGTCCTTCATCTGAGCACAAGCACTGAGGAAGTCCAAAGTGCCTGATCCAGGCTCGTTCAAGTCCATGAATCAGGTGTTCACCACGTTCTCCATGAAGCAACGTCGCCACGGTGTATTTCGTGGCCTGGTCGATGATGCTCAAAACGGGGAACTTCTTGGCACTGACGTTGCACTTGATCCACAGCACATCGGCCTGCAAACGTTCTCCAACCTCATGGGCTTGGTTTCGCAGTGTCGAAGGTGCCACCTGGTTGGGTCGCTTGTAGCGCAGGCATGCAGTGCATTGGAAGTGGCGAGCTGCCTCAATCACTTGATCGCTAGCTCCTCGGCTTTGAAGAAGTTCAACCAAAGCCTCAGGTTTGGGATGCCCAAGGTTCCTGTGCAGACGCTGCACGGTGCGCACTGCTTCGGTCTTCAGGGCCGTCTGGAGCTTCACAAGGCACCCAGTAACCTCTTTCTGCTCAGCTGCAAGTCCATAGTCCCAAAGCTGAGCTGGGTCTGGGGCATTGATGGCAGCTGCAATTGTGGCTGCAAGGCCAGGTTGGTAATCCTCTAAATAGGAGGTGCGTCGGCCAAGTCCAGGTGCCGATCCCTCCAAAGGACAGTGCAAGTGTTGCCCATCGCACTGCTTTGCCAGTGCGGCCTGCATGGAGACCTTGCTCGACAGAATGCCTGTCGGTTTCTTCACAAGCTTCCAGAGTCCGTCCTGGTCCAAACAAGCACAGCCAAACATGCAGTGGTGCAGGAGGATCCAATAGCCAGGTAGATCCTTCAAGGCTGCTGTGTGCCAGCTAAGAGCTCGTTCGGGCTGCTCGATGTGCGCGTGCCGCGCGTTGTCAACTTGCTCTTTGTAGACCCGGGCCACAAACATCAAGTGGCATGAGTGGTGCTCCTTCCTCTTGAGGTAGAGCTGGTGCTGTTGGGCTTCTGTTCGAGCGGCCAGGTTCTGCATTTGGCTCCATAAGTGACAGGAGGGTGCTAGATAGACCTCATCTGGCATCTCTGTTCGAAGCCTCTGCATGAAGAGGTCCTGGTGCTCCTGCAAGTCGAAGTCCCAGCCAGTCTCTTAGCTGAAGATCTCCACGTCCATGCCCATCGCTTCTGCAAGAGCTGAGACGCGTGCTCCACCGCAGTAGACTTCCCAGAGCACTCGTTTGCGCTCAGGCTGATGCAGCTCTTCAGTGATGTAGGCGTGGAGCTCGTTCTCAAGGGCAGTGAGCTTGGTGTCACAGGTCTGGAGCAAGTGGCGTCGCGTCGGACGCATGTCATCTTGGGCTGCAGCTTGAACAGCATCTTGGGAGTTGAAGAGCTTGACCTCAGTGTTGAAGGTCTGGAAGTCCATGAGCTCTCCAGCAACTCCTCCATCAGCAGGCACAACAAGTTCAAAGGCAGGTGGAAATTGCCACATGCTGGAGTCAAACTCGTTCAGCAGGGAGATGGGGTATTCTCCATGGGCACCCACCACAGCATGTTGCCAGGGCATGTCGTCAAGCTTGATCATGCGACTGCGGCAGTCAAGGACCAATCCAAGGGATTCCATGATCGGTCTTCCAAGCAGCATAGGGGTTTCACCAGGCAGCAGGTACATCTGCACATAGCCGTACTTGCCACCGATACATAAGGGCAGGCGAACAGTCCAGGTGCACTCCAAGCTGGCGTCACCACCAAAGTAGAAGGTGCGTTTGCAACGCATGAACTTGATGTTGGTGATGTCGTAGTCGGTCTCCTTGAGCTTCAGCATGTAGCGATAGAAGGGACCGTACCCTGACAAGAAGGCACTTGCGCCAGGGTCCAACATTGCGCAGTCATGGCGCTCGCACCCATGGTCGTCCGTGAAGATCACATGGCCGTGCTCCACGTCGCCGACGGTGCTTTCTGTCGGTGCCGTCTTGTGCTTGGATGCACCACCACCAGCTTTGGGCACAGGACAGTTGTAGGTCATGTGTCCCACTTGGCCACACCTCAAGCAGGTAGGCGTGTTGCCGCTGGCTTTCGCTCTCCCTTTTGGATCGGGCTCTTTCCCTTTTCCCCTGGCAGGGTATTTCACCAGGGTGGAGCTACCTTTGCCCTTTCCTTTCTTTGCTTTGGTCTTGCCCTTGCCACGTCCCGGAGAGACCGGTGACAAGGAGGAAGATGGTTGCCTCCATCAGTCAATGCCACAATTGGCAGGTATCCTCTGCTGAGCTTGATCTCGTTGAAGCGTCTGCGGGCATCGATGTACGATGCGTAGGCTGAGTCAATCTCTTCAGCCTGCTCAGAGGGATCTGCATCTTCCAAGGTCTGGTAGTACGCGGCATCGGTGTCGAAGTCCTCAAAAGTCTCATCATAGTAGCTGTCAGCAGCTGTGGGCGATGGATCTTGGGAGTAGGCATCATCTTCGTAGTACCCTCCCTCATAGTCATGGTCATAGTCGTTGTCATCAGCCCAATCATCAGCTTCATGCTGGTTGTCGTCCTCATAGTAGACCGCATAGCCACGTAGCTTACCGCGAAAACCACGGTGCTGGGCATGCTGGGCATGGTGATGTCCTCCACCAGCTACTGTCTTGTGGTCTTGACCCAAGATGAGAAAGAGGGCTTCCTGGACTTTATTCCGCTCCATGTTGGGCGCCTGAGTGGTCACCAGTTGCTTCTGCTCTTTGCTAAGGCCAGCTCTTCGGAGCAGATGCCATCCTTGGACCTTTGATGGAAGTGTCACATCATGGTCAGCCAGCTTGCTGTAGAGGTGGTCGTGCTCGGTCGTGTACTCCAAGAGGGTCTGACCAGGTCGCCGTTGAAGTTGGCTGAAGTATCTATCGAAGTCATTCGGAAGCTGGACCGTCCGGTCATACTCAAAGCCTTCAGGTTCTCGTTTGGCTACCCTCATCTTCATCACATAGATGTTGATCCTCTTTCTTCATTCCTTGTAGTCGGAGGGTGCACCGCTGAACAGCGGGATGTAGGAGTCCTTTGTGGTGTTGTAGTCTCCGGCGGTACTCGCCGATCCAGTTCCAGCCGACATTGCCTCAGGCAGTGAAGGGGATGTAGACCAGGTAGTAGGCCGGGCAGTCAATCACCAGGCACGTAGTTGCCACCACACCAGAGCTTGTCCAGGTAGAACAGCAAGAGGCCAGCACAGGGCCTAGAACAGCAATGCAGAGAGTCAAGGCCTGCTCAGGACCTGTATGCAGCGTGGCCTGCCCAGGGCCAGATCAGAAGCGCAAGGAAGCAAGGCCAGCACAAGGCCAGATCAAAAGCCAGAGGAAGGCCTGCACAGGGCCAGTGAGCAGCAGCGAGAAGTCGATGTCCACCAAGGGCCAGCACAAGGCCAAAGGGTGCAAGACAAGGTAGGGCCAGGCTGGCTCCGCTACCAATGTCAAGTTGGAGGTTATGGCCCACGAAGTCCAAACCCAACGGAAAGTGCGCCTAAGCGCTGCAATGCTTTTCCAAGAAGCACCGCTATGCGTTGCCGTCAAATGGCTTTAGCTGCCCACCACTGTTGAGTTGGAAAACAGCAGCGGGTAAAACATGACATGTATGTAAAAGGCCCATGTGCTCAAGTTGCAGCTGCAAACTTCACACACATATATATATATAAATATTATATGTATATATAATCTTTTGTATATTTATATATATATATATATAGCTACACAAACCTGGCACTATGATATTGGCGTTTCTCTTGGAGAATAGATGGGGTTCTGGCGTCAGGGGGCTACAATTAGATGTGCATCAGGGGATTGTCTGAAAATATGGGATTTTGCCACTTTTTTGGTGACAGGAGTGGGGATAATCAATGGATTCATCGATGTGGAAACTTTCATGGAAAAAATCACAGAACACTGACGATATGTGGATGTAAGAGGGATACAATGTGAGTATAATGGGGATATAATGAGATGATGGCATATAACCAACAACATAATATGGCCGCCCATAAAACAACAGTTTTACAACTTTTTAGATGCAACACATGATGATCATTCACGAGCTTGTATAGGCAGCCTATGTTTTTTTTGGGATATGAAGCAAAGCGAAGCGTAGGGCCAGTGAAGAAACAGGGGAAACGGCGGGGTCCGGATTATTGGGCAATCCCAGATGATACCTTGGTGAGGCCCACAGATATACTTTGGTCGGGTGAAAATCATTCAAGGCATTTTGTTTCGAGAGTAATCTGCAGATCAAGTTGATTTGAATATGGACTAGAGTTACCAACGACCAGTTTGGCCACAGAAACATCTCCAAAAAGGAACAGCGTATGTCTCAGAACGGCAAAATGAGGCCGTGGCTAGCCTTCTGGTCAGGCTAAAAGCATGAATGCAAGCAACGGAATGGTAGAGAAAACAATGGAACAAACACACAGCCAGAGAGAGAGAGAGAGAGAGAGAGAGAGAGAGAGAGAGAGCGAGAGAGCGAGAGAGAGAGAGAGACAGAGAAAGAGAGAGAGAGAGAGAGCGAGAGCAAGGGAGTGAGGGAGGGAGAGGGGAGAGCGAGAGCGAGAGCGAGGGAGGGAGAGACGGGGGGAGGGAGGGCGGGAGAGCGAGAGAGAGAGAGAGAGAAAGGTGCTCTACGCAAGGAGTGCATGTAACACGAAGCTATGGCACAAGATAGCAGCTTCTGGAGAGGTCTTCGTGTTTCTCTGAGGCAGTGGTCGCACCACAGCCTGCCCAGACTCCTGCAGCTTCGTCAGGAGCAGTGCAAGGAGACGGATGAAATCGGATGAAAATGCATTTGTTGTGAAGCCTTTTGAAGAAGTGCAGCTCCGTGTTTTGAGCGAAGGATTGAGCAGTTCAGACTCTGGAACTCTGCCCAAAGAGAGTCCCAAAGAGACTCCGACTGAGAAAGGCACCGGGTGAAGGGTCATGATAGTATTTCATTGCAAAGTTGAACTGCACTGAACTGGGCTTCTGTGTTGTGAGACCCATGAACCATGGATTGCAACCGCGAGGATCGGATGACACTGCAGAGTGCACAGGGACCACAGGGACAACGCTTCCCGGTCATGGTACTGTCTGCGACTCGGTTTTCCTGAAGCATCGTAGCATCTCTTAGACGAGTAGTGTTTATGAAGGATGCAAGGACAGAAGCGAATTTCGCTCCTTACGGTGGCTGCCATGCATATGGACAGTAGGCTGCTGCTCACGGGCGATTGCTGTAGATGGGTCGTTCGGTGGAGTTTCCCCGAGATGTAAAGGACACTAATCTTTCCCTGGAGGCTCCTGTGTAAAAACATATAAAAACACATACCAAGCAGATTAGTGTTTGTCTTGGAAGTGGCCCTGAGTAGGTTGTAGCGGGTTCTGCGAATAGTTCTCCTGTCCTAGAAAAAATATTGATTCAGCGCAAAATGCTCAGAAAATTGCATGTGGTTGCCGGATTTGCTGTCGAGATGTTACATAACTTGGGCCCTTGGGAAGAAGCAGGCCTGTTGAGCCAAATCGGGTAAAGACCAAACAGGAGCAGAATGCAAGGAGTGCATGTAACACGAAGCTATGGCACAAGATAGCAGCTTCTGGAGAGGTCTTCGTGTTTCTCTGAGGCAGTGGTCCCACAGCCTGCCCAGACTCCTGCAGCTTCGTCAGGAGCACTGCAAGGAGACGGATGAAATCGGATGAAAATGCATTTGTTGTGAAGCCTTTCGAAGAAGTGCAGCTCCGTGTTTTGAGCGAAGGATTGAGCAGTTCAGACTCTGGAACTCTGCCCAAAGAGAGTCCCAAAGAGACTCCGACTGAGAAAGGCACCGGGTGAAGGGTCATGATAGTATTTCATTGCAAAGTTGAACTGCACTGAACTGGGCTTCTGTGTTGTGAGACCCATGAACCATGGATTGCAACCGCGAGGATCGGATGACACTGCAGAGTGCACAGGGACCACAGGGACAACGCTTCCCGGTCATGGTACTGTCTGCGACTCGGTTTTCCTGAAGCATCGTAGCATCTCTTAGATGTGTCCTGGTCACAAGTCAATATTCATGGACGTTTCCCAAGTTCGGGGAGATTGTTACCATGCCAGATTCATCATTATTCATCATTATTCAGCATTTTTCATCATTATTCATCATCATTCGATCTGACATATTCATCATTTTTCATCCATGCCCAAGTTGCCAATTACCCAATGTCAGGGGGCCCCCTTCAACGTTTGGATCCAAAGGTAAGGGGATTCCCCAGTGGATAGACCGCAACGATTCCGATGCTACTGTGACAACAACAACATACCAATTAAGATTGCTATGAAAAAAGTGACAGGAATGACAAGAACCACAATTCCACTCATTTACATTTGCTAGATAGTAGTTGAGATTGACTAATATACCCCATATCAGCCATTGAGATGTGGATATTTTGAGCTCGCGACAATGGAAACCATGGCCCATTTAGTTCGATGATTCACCTTATTTTCGATAGCAAGCTATGAAATTAGTTACTAGAGTGTAATCAACCATTGATGGTTAGTCCCATGTCATTCGATGGTTAATCTATGTCAATCTCATTGTTTGATGTTTGGCTCCCCCATATTTTTGATACCCTCTGGTAATTTAACATAGCTATTGAAAATTGCAGTTTAGAGTGGATTTTCCCATTAAAAATGGTGATTTTCCATAGTTATGTTAGTTTACCAGAGGGTATTTGATGGTGAATCCATATTGGATACCCAACGCAAGGTGCTTGAGCTCCCCAGCGAAGCTGTGGAAAGGCCAGCTGTGGCACTCGATGGCTGATTGTTCGGGCAAGGTTTTGGAAATGAGGTGATCAAACATGACAAAACATGTGGGATTATACATTATAAGGGTACTCTTATATCTTCCCAGATGTATGTATGTACACACGCATATATATATATATATACATAGATATATATGAAGACATGTACATACCATATATAACCTCTCATGTGCAGTGTAAAGATCCAGGGGTTTAGCATGAGCCCGACCTTTATTTTGGCTCAAGTAAAATAGAGCTCCGCAGCTCGATATTGTGTTTTCATGGTAGCGCGTGAGCCTGGTGAGTCCGAAGCCGACTACGAGTTGAGGCAAAGGGACAACAGGCATAATAAGTCAAGGTGCCTGGTTAGTAGCTCCTCAGAGGAGGAGGAGGAGCCAGGGAGCCGAGCGGCTGATTCAGCCGCCGGCTCGGAGCTGGGAGCGGCGGGCCCGGCCGCCCCAGCAGTGATAGTAGAAGAAGAAGAGGAGAAAGAGAAAGAAGAGGAAAAGAAAGAAGAGGAGAAAGAAGAAGCCCCAGGAAAGAGAAGGAAAAGAACCCAGAAAAGCCCTAAGCCCGTCGCAAAGCCCAAAATCGGATTCTACAAACCCCAACAAAGTTATCCAGGTGGACATCTTCAAGTTGAGACGGCACGGTCAGCAATTTCCCCGGGTGGAACGAGAAGACCAGCCGTAACTTTGATTGGGCTAGCAAATCCAGCAGAAGAGGAACCGACCCAGACATATCAGATTCGATTGAGAAGCCAGTCTGAGGTTCGACAAGGTTCAGGTCCAGACCCATCTGAGCGGTTGGAGTTCACTCCAAGACCGCCTAGAGATAGCCCAGCACCGGACGCGCCGTGGAACCGTCCGAGTGCGAGTGAGTTGAAGAGGACTCACTCTAAAGGTTTCAGACTGAGGTCCGCTCAGTCCCGCCAGTATCGCAACCTCCGAGGGCAATTGAGGCTTGCGAAGAAACAAGGAGTGAAAGTGGACCGTGGGCTGAAGGACCAGATTGACAGGTTTGGAAAAGGGCGACAAGAGTACCTTAGAAAGAAAGCCGAGGCCAAGAAGGCCAAGGCTGATCCTGCTGTGTAAAGCAGCGCCGCAGCGGCTTGGAGAGCCGCAGCGAGCGGACGCTTCGTCCGCAAGGAGTGAAAAGGAATAACATCTGTCCATTGGTAAGGGTAACATGGAGCAACAAATCCAAGAATTAGCAGAGACCATCCAACAACTTAGGCAAGCCCAACTAACCCTAACCGCCGAAAATGAGCGGTTGAGAGAGGGTCAGGCAGGTGTTCAGGCATTAGCACAATCCGTAGGTGAGTTGGCACAGTCTATGAAAAGGGATACCACGGATAGGAAAATCCTCATGGACACCAAAGGTTTGGGTAGACCTGAAGTGTTTGACAACAAAGAAGAAAGTTTTCGAAGGTGGATTCGGTCAATCAACAATTTGGTTGCCGGGGTATTTGGTCCAGATTATGACAAGGTTTTGGAAAGTTGTCTGGATTCAGAAGATCCCATAGACCTTCAAGATTTGGCCGACAATCAACACCCCGATGTAGATGGCATAGAAAAGGTTGGAGAACAACTGTATCGGGTGTTGTGTCACCTATGCATTGGGGAAAGTGAAGATCTTGTTGTTGGAGCCGGTAATGGCTATGAAGCCTATAGGAAGCTTTGTAGGAGATGGGACCCCGCCACGAGCGGGAGGAAAAGAAATCTCCTACGGGCTATCCTAACTCCAGAGCGGTGCAAAACGTGGGCCGCCGTGAGGCCAGCTATCGAACAGCTGGAAGACTTGGTGAGGAGATACGAAGCTCGGAGGTCAGCATCAGGGACCCGAGAGTTGTTGAGTGATGACATCAAATCAGCATCTCTAGAACTTTTGGTTCCAAATGACCTTGAGAAGCATTTGATCCTTAACAAGAATCGGTTGACCACTTATGAATTGATGAAACAAGAAATCGAATTGGTGGTTGAATCCAGCATTGGTTCAAAGGGACCTGTAACTAGACCGGGACAAGCTTCAAGTAGTTCAGGACCCCAACCAATGGATGTTGATTCCATAACCCAGTGGATAGCAAGTTTAGTAAAGGGTCAGGCAAGTCCAAAGGTAAAGGGTCAGGAAAAGGCAAAGGTAAGGATAGCAGTAAAGGCTCAAGTGGCTCAAATCCAAACAAAGACATAGTTTGCCACAATTGCGGCAAGAAGGGTCATAAACAATTGGACTGCTGGAGCAAGAAGAGAGATGACAAGGGCAATTCAAAGGGCAATTCGAAGGGCAATTCAAAGGGTAATCAAAAGGGCAAGAAACATGTATCAGGGCTAGAAAATGGAGAGTCAGCGGAAGCGGGTGCTGAGCCCGCGCCGGAGGCTGACGTAGGATTGATTGAGGTAGGAGCAATAGATGGAAAGGTTTGCACACCAACGGCTGTTTCAGCCGTAGAGGAATGGGTGAGATTCAACTTGGATACAGGAGCCGCGCAGACGGCAGTCCCAAAAGATTGGGTAGATGATAAGGTCACTGTCACCGGAGCGAGTGAAGTGATTTTCAAGACAGCATCTGGCGAGTTGGTGCCGAGTGAGGGCACAGGAACCTTTGTAGGGTTCGGTGAAAGCGGTATGAGATGCCGTGTCCGAGGAGCCATTGCAGATGTGCATAAGCCCTTGGTGTCAGCACACAAGTGCTTGGGATTTGGTCGGAAGCTGTGCTTGATGAGAATGGTGGACAATTGGTCCCCGTGAGTTCGAAGGCTGGTAGAGCCATCCAAGGAATCATCAACCGCGCGACAGCAGCTGAGGCCAAGACTTGGCTGCCAGTGTATCAGGAAAGGGGTGTGTATAACTTCTATCTCAAGACAAAAGGTGGAAAGCGGCAGGTCCCAGCGAACGCCGCAGAAACCATAGAGAAGGAGCTGAATGCAGCTGGTTCTTCTGATGAAGCTGCAATCAATGCACCAGAGGCACGGGCCGACCCGGCCGAGGGTGCAATTGAGGAAGTGATGGAAGAAGTGGAGGAGTCTGAGAGGCCAAAACTGGTGAAATCTCCAGATACTCCAACTCAGGCAGAAGTGGATGAGCATGAATCCACAGGGCACGTGGTCTATCGAGACTGGTGCCGGCATTGCGTCGCAGGGCGCGGTCTGGGGCAGAGACACCAGACGAGAACCAATGAGCAAAGGGAGCAAAACCTGGTACCAACTGTTCCTTTCTTGTACCTGTTCAACAGGTCCGCTGCCTGTCGTGGCAGCCAAGCAAGCATCGGGTCTTCGTCAGGAAGTACCCTGCCTACTTTCTCCTCCAAGGCTGACCTCAAAACTCGGATCTGCCTCTTCACTTCGCGGATTGCGTTCTCAACCAATCCATTTGCTTGATGGTCTCCTGGCGGGGACTCTTCCGGCACTGACTCGATGGCGGCTTCTCTGGCCGCTGCCTCTTTCAATGCCATGATGGAGTGCTCTCCATCCGACTTGAGCACTACCTTACGGTAGCCTAAGTTCTTCAAAAACGCTGCTGCAAACTTCACAGCATAAGGGGTTGCCCCCTTCGAGTCCACAAAGGTCGCTGCAACCATCTGTGTCCTCTCATCCTTCATCACAAGGATGGGCCTCAGCCTCTCATCGTCCTCGTCACTGCGGGACATGAATGCATAATCAAATGCAACAGACGGTAGGACGCCAGAGGTCCGCCGCAGCGGAAAGCAGTGGCGGAAACCCGCCATAGCTTTTGGAGAGAGACTCTACTTTAGAGAAGTAGGAGAAGGAACACGTGTCCTGAAAGAGGGACGGTACGTGGGGCATCATGGACGCACAGGATCTTTGATGCTGATGACATCACAGGGTGTCAAGCGAGGCACTGGATTCAGGCGAATGCCAGATGTCGACAGATGGGATCCTACTGGATGGGATCAATTGCGAGGAATACCTTGGGAGCTGAGCGCACCAAGGCCAGTTGCGGGAGAGAGGCTGATCGGCGAAGACCGGTTAGTCGTTCCTCCGCCACCGCCAGAAGCGCGAGTGGCACCACCTCAGAGAAGGAAGCTGTACATCAGAAGGGAAGATGTGCACAAACATGGAGCAACTGAAGGTTGCCCAGGCTGTACTTGTGTCCTTGAAAATCGAAGGACAACGGTGCCTCATACAGAAGCTTGTAGGGCAAGAATTATTGAGGCAATGGAGAAAGATGAGACAGGAGCAGAAAGAATCCAGGCGCATGCAAAGAAGCGCAAAGAAGACCAAGAGAGAGACAGACCAAAACCAGCGGTCGTTCCGACCGAAGAGAGAGATATGAGTGTAGAAGATGCAGAGGGCAGACCGGTTGAACCGAGCGGCGCTGATCCGCCGCAGGAGATACCGGAAGACCCAAATGAGAGAGCAAAGCTCAAGAGACAGGCGATGCCAGATGCAGAAGCAAAGGCAAAGCCGAAAGTGTCGCCACAGCAAGTGAAGCGACCGGGAGGTCTGAGCATTGCATCAGGACCACCATTGACTAAGGCGAAGCCAACGCCTACACAAGGGTTGAAGCGTACCGCCGAGGAAGGTACGGGAGAATTGGAGACCAGAATCACCGCTGAGCAAGCGGCTGTTCCAGCCGCTGCACCAGATACGGGGGCACAAGATTTGAAAGGAGCAGCTTTAGCTGTGTTGAAAGAGGTTGCTATGGGCAACATCAAGACTTTGGTGGAAGAGACATACAAGAAGAATGGGATTGAAATCTCATCTCAAGAAATCGCTGACATTGCGAGTTTGAGTTGTGAAATGGCAGCAACAGACATTGCAGAGGTTTACTCGCCGAAACGTTTTACAGCGCTGGCGCAGCAGTACAAGCTGAGGCCAGGGTTCGCTGTCGATCTTTGTGAGAAAGGAAAATGGTGAATACTGGAACCTCAACAAGGCAGCGGACGTGGAACTTCTTCATGAGCTGATAGACCGTGAAGAGCCCCTGTTGATCACAGGCAGTCCGCCGTGCCATTTATTTTCAAAGTTGCAAGCGATCAGTTGGAACAAGATTCCACCAGAGATCAGAGAGAAAAGAATGAACGAAGCATTGCATCACCTTCACACGTCATGTGATGTGTATGAAAAGCAGATCCAGCAGGGTAGGTATTTTCTTCATGAAGCGCCATGGGGTGCAACAAGCTGGAAAGATGAAAGAGTTGAACGCATATCATCAAGGGATGATGTGTATGTGGTGCGAGACCCTATGTGCAAGTGGGGCATGACGGCTACAGACCGTCGAGGCCTGCAGGGGACAGGCTTTGTGCGCAAGGAAACCGGGTGGATGACAAACCATCCAGGATTGGCAAAACTGTTGGAAACAGAGTGCGCAAACAAGACAGGCGGAGCACCGTGGCACCGCCACATTCATTTGATTGGTGGCATAGCCCAGCAAGCGGCAAAGTATCCGCCGCAGCTTGTAAGAGCTGTACTCAAATGTTTGAAAAGAGAACTGGAAGAGAGAGGCGAATTGAATGCCGCCGATGCATACAGTGCAGGGCCAGTTCCAGAAGTGCCAACCGTAGACCCAGAGTGGGAAGAGCGGTATGTAGATGATGTTAATGGGGGAGTGGTTCCAAAAGAGGAAGTTGAAAAAGCCAGATCGGTAGAGATGCAGTATCTTCACAGACAGGAAGTATACTTGCCAGTACCGATTGAGCAGTGTTTTGAAGAAACAGGGAAACCCCCGATCAAGACCAGATGGCTTGATACAAACAAGGGTGACCCAAGTCATCCGAACTACAGGAGCAGACTGGTTGTCAAGGATATAAAGGCCGCGAAACGGCCTGAAGACCAGCTACCTGCAAATCTTTTGTTTTCAAGCACACCGCCTCTTGAAGCAATGAGGCTGCTGTGCTCATTGTGGGCGACCAAGCAGAGGTCGATCCACGGTGAAAAGCTGAAACTTGGTTTGTGGGACATATCCCGCGCACACTTTTATGGAACACCAAAGCGCAGGATATTCATAGAGCTTCCCAGTGAAGAGTCAAGAGCTGAGGGAGGAAAGATGTGTGGACTCCTTCAGAAGTCGATGTATGGAACACAAGACGCACCGAACATATGGCAGTCCCATTATTCAGGGATTTTGATAGAAGGTGGGTACAAGCGTGGAAAATCCAACGCTTCGGTATTTTACCACCCACAGCACGATGTCCGTGTGATGGTACATGGAGATGATTTCCTAGCACTAGGTGATCAGAAACACCTTAGTGAGCTGGAAGACTTGCTGCGCAAGTCATATGAGCTGAAATGTCTCGGAATCATTGGAGACCAACCTCAGGACAAGAAAGAGATCCATTTCCTGAACAGGTTGATTCGGTGTGGCGAAATTGAAGGGAGGCCAGCAGCATGGATTGAACCTGATCGCAGGCATGTGGACCTGCTGATCCAGAGCTTTGGCATGACAAACGCCAAAGGCGTAGAAAGTCCAGATGTAAAGAAATCTGCAGACCAGCAGGCTCTTGAAACCAGGAGCCCCTTGCTTCCAAAGGAAGCCGTATCAGAGTTTAGATCCGCAGTAATGCGGGCAGCATAGCTGTCGCAAGACAGGTCAGACATTGGCCATGCGGTCAAGAACCTAGCGAGACGGCTGGTTCAGCCGACCGAGGCCAGTTTGGTAGATTTGAAGAGGCTGATCAGATACTTGATCAGGTACCCAGACTTCGCTCAGGTTTTCAAAGCGCAAAGGACACCTGAGAGACTTGTCATACAGGTCGATAGCGATCATGCAGGAGACACAGTGACAAGAAAATCGACCACAGGAATGATTGCCTTCTATGGGCAACATGTTCTGAAACACAGCTCGAATGTGCAGTCAACCATTGCACTTTCGACAGGCGAATCAGAGTACTATGCTCTGGTTAAAGGTGGAAGTACCGGGCTGGGAATTCAGTCCCTATTGGCTGACTATGGTATCAATGCAGCGGTCACCATCGAGTCAGACTCGAATGCTGCAAAAGGTACAGTCAACCGTGTTGGACTTGGCAAAGCACGCCATATCCAAACCCGTTACTTATGGCTGCAAGAACGAGTAGCCGAAAACCACCTTAAGGTTGTGCATGTTCCAGGTAAACAGAATCGATCAGATGTTCTGACGAAACCTGTGCCTGGTACACAGATGTACCAGACTATGGCAAAGTCAGGGTATGTGTATCTGACAGATCGGAGCAAAGGCCAACTGAATCTACTTTAAGTGAAGGCCCTGGCCAGACTCCACTACCTTTTAGCTCGTGGTAGCGCTCGAGCCGAAGGAGAACTGAGAGCCGGAGTTTAGCTCTTTGCGAGTGTACATAGAATCACTCTTCAAGAGAGGAGGAGTGAAGACATGTACATACCATATATAACCTCTCATGTGCAGTGTAAAGATCCAGGGGTTTAGCATGAGCCCGACCTTTATTTTGGCTCAAGTAAAATAGAGCTCCGCAGCTCGATATTGTGTTTTCAATATACATATGTACACATGTATATACAACATATACATGTATACATGTATGCATAAATACATATATACAGATGCAATATGTATGTATGTGTATATATATATATATACATATGCACACAAACATGCACATAGGGAGAGATTAAGACAAGATCCTATCGTATATGATGAACGAATGGTTGAATGATTGTTTTCCTTGGCCAATGGTTGAGATTGGCCAAGAAGATAGTGATTCGGCTATGGCCAACACCTTGTTTGTTGCTATCTTAAGAGTGGCATGGAATGCAAAGATGTCTTATGTCTACATATCATATACATATATACATGAAAATTGTTTGTATATATATGTGTATATATATATATATATACGCTAGGGGCGCTAAGTTCTCCGATACGTCATGTTTGTGGGTGATTGGACATGTTGAAAAATGGTGTTTTCCCTGTAGTGATTTGCACATTTTTGAGCATCGTGATTTGTCTTGACAACTTGATGTTTGACGGACGATTTTTTTTTCGTCCGTTTACTGTAAATTCAAATACAAAAGGTACTCTTCATTGGTTCCTCTATCCTGGAATTGTCCATTTTTCCTTTTTTTTGTTTTAACATATTCATATATATATATATGAAAAAAGTGCAAAATTAATTGGGAAACGCCAGTCAAAATGAGATAGGGCCTTTTTGTATTGGTATTTGCAGTGTTTTCTATCGTTGTGAACCAAGCCGCATCTTGATAGTTAGTTTTTTTTGTGTTCTACTTACTTACATTTCTTTGTTATTTTGATATAGTCAGTGTGTTCTGTCTGTTTTTTTCTTTTTCACATTCCCACGGTCATCCTCAGCGTAGCACCAGTGAACGTACTTGAGTCCCCATCCCATCGGAGAAGTCCTAGCCCCTCGGGTATATATACGTATTAATATATATATATATAGAGCTGTTTATATACATGATATGTGTATATATATATAACATACATACATTCTCCGTCTCTCTACCTATGTCTTTGTCTCTATATATATATATATACACATACATGTATGTGTATTTCATTGTACTTTTATATGCGCATACATATTATTACTGTCAGGGGCTCATGTACTTCAACATCCTGGCAGCTAGTTTCCTTGAATTTGGGCCAGGTTGAGCCCATACCTCTGCGATTATCTTCTGAGAGCTGTGTAGAGCCCAGGATGTGTCGGAAGTCTTGGAATGATTTTGCTTGCAATGAACCTCCGTCCACTTAAAATCGTAGAACATGGCCCTGCTGAGGATTGGAACACGTTTTCCTTTCTGGGATGAAGGCTTTTTGGGTCTATGTCGTGAGGGTTTTACGACGTCGACATGTCCTGAGGTCACGTCGAACCAAAAATCTTCTTGGCGGCGTCGGGAAACGCAATGGGTCCTCTCCGGCAATCCAGGATGGCAGAAATCCATGGAAATCCCTATCGAACCTATCGCGAGAAGATCGTGGCTTCAAAATCATCTTGGGACAATCCATGTGAAATTCTACATGGACGTTTGAAAAAAAGGGAGTTTTGGTCAGACTACCATCTATAATGACTTCTAGGGGTGTTTCCATTGCTGGGACTTTCAAGTTAGGGCCACTCTTGTGACTCGCCCTTTCAAGGCGCGTTGTGGCGACTGCTGGGCAGACGATGGCTCCTTTCTGCCGTTCATTCAGCACCTCGGAGGTTTTTTTTGCCACGCCCAGATCCTCTGGTGCTACCCTCTGGTTCTAACAGTTTGCCATGGAAAGAGCCACCATTTTTTAATGGGAAAACCATGGGAAAACCATGGGAATTCCATGGGAAAATGGTGAATTATATGGAAAGATCCACCCATTTTTAAGAACGGTAAACCATCTGTTTAACTATGGGCCATGGCTTCCATGGCTATGTTAGTCATAACCAGATGGTACATGGTTCTCTCATTTTGATCCAATGAAATCGGTCTCCAAACCGAAACAATGGCTATGAAACTGGAGCTTCCTGGAAGTTTCAGCGTCTCATAGTTCTGCAGCTTGGATGGCCAGGCAATGAAAGACCCGTTGCCTTTGGTACTCGCCCTGGACCTGGATCCTTGGGAGGCCCTTTGGATCAACTGCCATCCATTTTTCTCGGCAACGAAAATGGGCTTTTGCCCTGATTTTCTGGGTGTTTCTCCTGCAAACGGCTCCGCGATACAGGTGAAATTGGATGGATACAGCTTCAATCTGAAGATGCCCAGCATGTGGCCAGCCTGCATTTTTTCCCATCATCTCTAGTTTTTCCAAAGACATCCAAAGACCATCGGCAGACTCTAATTGCCAATTCGAAATTGATCCCGTGTCATTCTATGCCCAGCAGATTTCCTGATTTCATCATATTTCATCCTGACTCCGGGTTCAATCGCAACGCATGTGATGGAAACCGCGATCCGCTGTGGTCCTTGTGGTCTGCTGTGGTCCGCTGTGGCTAGGCGCTTCGCGGTGGTTTTGCAAGTGGAGGTGTCCTCCATCGGCTGCTCCTTTGTCCGAGCCTTTGCGGCCTTCCCGGATGAGCTGGTGGTGAATCTGGTGCGATGCCTGCAGGACAGATGGCCACTATGACTATGGCTCCATATGGATACAGCTCCTATCCGGGTTGGTTCATATCGATTCATATCATCTAACTTTGGGTCCATGGTCATTTTTTGGGCACACGATTTTTGGACTCCTGGATTCCGAACATCTTCCTGTCTCAGGAGCAAATGCAGGGCTGGGATTTGAGGGAGATGGATCCCCGCTTCGCTGGCTTTACGCAGCCTGCTCGTGTGGGTTTCGTGGCACCGGCACGTCGTTTTCTGCTGGGAGTGGAGACGAAGCCGATCTCGCTGAGTTGATACGTGGGCACACACGAAATTCCATGGCCATGAAATCATTGATCCAAACATCAGCTGTACCATCAAGCGGATTTTACCATCAAACGTTTGAAGTTTTCATGGAATACAGTTTTAATATGCAAAAAATGGGGTTTTCCTTGAAGTCTTCCTGGTAGCTGGCAGGATCTTGAAGTGGACTGGCCTTCCAGCTCGGAGATCCGTCACAGACTCAGACTGCACTCACCAGTGGTTTGTGTACCGCAACTTGGGGATGAGCGTCACTTTTTCACAGGGGAGAGTACCTGGGGATATCCCCAATTCCGACCTTTCCATACCTTTCCCCAGAATTCTTCGTGAAAAATGGAGGCCTCACGGCCAAAAAGTTGAACTCGCGCCCTGAACCCAGTTGCCCTGTCGTCCAGTCACCGATGTCACCGATGTCACTGTCTTCCCCAGTCCTGCGACCCTTTCTGTGTCCGCGAGGTTTGGATCTTTCGGCGTCCTGAGTGGCGATGCCGATGCTGCCGATGCTGCCGATGTGCCAAAGTTGCACGTTTCGGTTTCACTATGTTGTGAGACCGGTAGCTGAACGCGTTACTCACAGCTGCAGTTGGGTATGCTCCTTCTGCAAGTACTATATGGTCATGATGATCCTCACCTAGCTTTGCTTGTGCAAAGAAAGGCGCTTTCAAAGAAAGCTGCCGAGCTTTCATATCAACTTTTCTAAACTTGGAAATGCAGCGAAGCGATGTCCAAGCCTGCATCTGTTTCAGGATATTTCGACCAGATTTCACAGAGTTTGCTTCTTGCTGCATCCTTTTAGCCCATCGAAGATCAGTGCAGACTCAGGGTCTGATGTTAAAGCTGGCTGCGCAAAAACGTGGCTGCGCAGTAAACATCTTGCCCCCATGACACCCATGCGGAAGTCCAATGCCTCAGCAGATTTCTCTATGAGAGCAACCAGTGACACCTTGAGTTCCAAGCCTCAAAGCCGAAGGCTTTGCGGAATAGAATCTGCCAGGTGAATTTGCCAGCAGTCCCAAACGCTCTTTGCTTGGTGATGAGGGATGACAAGACTCTGCGTTTCTTGAAGTGCGCCGAGCCGTCGAGCTGTGTCTGTCCCTCCATCCATGCAGACACACAGACGCACATAGAGACATACCAGCACACATGCATGCATACCCGTTCATATCATGCATACATATAAGGTATTTATAGGCGTATGTATGTCGCATAGACTTCACCCTACCCCCCACGGTGCTGCACAAGGGGGAGAAGTTCCACTGTTGTCGAGGTACGTGAGCCGTGATGCTCCGTCCTCGCGCGCAGATGTTTCCGCATCATATCGAGTGGACGCTGAAGACTCTGAAGGATCGCCTGAGGGATCGCCAGACTGAAAGCGCTGAAAAGGTCTGGGCATAGCTTGAATTTTACATAAACCCTTCCAAACTCGAAGCTTTCGTCATTTTCAAATTCAAAAAGTATTCATCCAAGTTGCAGGTGGTTAATTTTGACTTTTTGACACACCTTTGCATCTGGTTAGAGCTCCGCTCGAAAACCAACATGGTGCCACAGAAGATTATTCGCCCAGAACAAATCCTGGCTATTACATTACTACATGCTATTACCTGGCAACTTCGGGTGTAAGCTTGTTTGATTTCGGTGGGAATACTGCAAGCTACTGCTGCAAGCTCAATAGCTTGAGGCTCAAGCACTTGCACATGAGTCGGAGAATAACACCTACGTGGGTATGGGGGTGCAATCAACCAAAATGGGTGTATAAGCTACACAAATGGGATGACACTCCATGTATGAAAATGGACTTTTAACACCACATATCGCAATATCCATTAAAATGGTTCACCATCTGAACCAGGAGTTCTGGGCTGTTGATGATGAAAGGGTGACGGAATGAATAGGGAAATCATGAGTAATCCCTTCGCCCTCTTACCAAACCTCTCCCAAAATAGTAGAGACTAGAGTTCATTCCCCCTTTTTTTTTTGGGGGGGTGTCTAATTTCGTTTTTCAATTAGACACCACTGGTATACCATATCTATCCATATCTGATATTGATGATGGACAACCGGAGATTGGGAAATCAAAGGGCATCCAAAGCCATGGCTTTTCCTCTGCGGCCATTGAGGAAACTCTTGACAATTGAGGACTGCTGCAGTTGCCCTACAACTGCCCTTCATAGCTGTGCTCTTTGTAAATGGTTTTACATGTGATGGAGTGCCCTCTCCAGATTCCTTTTCTTATATAGAACAGCACAGTTTCAAACCTTTGTGTTGGAAACAGAGGGCATTCAGACTGTCGTGACCGCGGCGCGGCGCGCTGATTTGTGCTGAGTCTTGAGGGTCGCTGCTGTTTGGGTGTTGTTTTAGTTGTCAGGTGCATTGACAGGAGGATGGGTGCCACTTGCAAAAACGTATTCATCAATTACGTATGTATATATAAAATTATGCATATATAATAATAATGATAATAAAAATACATAAATAACTAACTAAATAAACAAATTCTAATGATAATTATTATTAATCCAAATAAATAAATGATAATAATAGTAATAATATATATGTCATATATACATACACAAAATGTATCATATATCAATATCATATAAATATAACATATGAATATCATACACGAATATCACATATAACTATCATATATGAATACATATGTAACATCATGAATATGCTATATGAATATTATATATGATTATGATCTTTGTATATCATATGTAAGTATCATGTTTGAATATGATATTTGAAGACAATCTATGCATATCATAAATATGAGTATGTGTAAATGTGTATATATATATACACGTATATGTATGTATATGAACATGTATATGACATGTACATGTATATATATATATACATATATACATATATATATATATATGTATGTGTACATGTATATCTATACGCATATGTATATGTATTTGCATTTGTATATGTATATGTATGTGGATATAGATGCCACATATCATATACGTACCATATACATACATACATGCATGCATGCATGCATACATACCTACATCCATCCATCCATCCATCCATCCATCCATCCATCCATGATCACTGCATGCATGCATGCATGCATGCATGCATGCATGCATGCATACATACATACATACATACATACATACATACATACATACATACATACATACATACATACATACATACAATAATAAATAGACGATATTACTAAAATTCATATGATGTAGAGTCCAGTTTACAATACTATGTAACATACAAACACATAGCATATGTAACTGTAATACTGTATATATATATATGTATATATATATACATATATATATATACGTATAATGTTGCATATAGATATTCAACATACATGGAACATACATGGAAATTCTAGTGGAGCCATTGACAATACCGCAGACGGTCTCATATACCGTGTTATACTAGCTGGCTTATTGGGGACTATTACAACCTATTGTAGGAATGTTTACCGACCAACGGCTCAATTGTTGGTTATATAAACCCATGTTTCCGTTCACATATCCCCATTACCAAATCTAATTATCCCCAAGAAATGTTGATTCATACCACGCTATCCCAAAACCAAGGTATTTTCTCATGGCTTATTTGATCAGTATCACATCTCATTTGCCATAGGAGGAGACGGCGCTCTTACCTGGGCGTCATGTCTGCGAAGCTGCTTCGCTTCGTGTCAGCTGCCAAAGGCTCCGACATTCTTCGGTGATTTCACTGGTGATTTCACCAGGGGAATTTTGACCAACCAGCAATTTGGGAGGCCTCGGTTGACATAAAACCCAGTGAAACAGACATTTTCAACACGATCTGCTGCCGAAAATTTTGGATGTTCTGGTTAAATGGGTTGGATTTCCACTTGTGTTGTAAAAAAACAAGACCCGCAGCTCAAGCCATGCTCAAGCCATGCTGAAGCATAGTCGGCCGATACGCAACGATCATGAAAACTGCTCTAAACAAGACCACGTTCTTCGAGAGAGACAGTGTCCGCAGGATTCCATATCGTGTGCCAGAATGATTAGAATGCCAAAGTAGGACGCCAAACTTGCCGAGTTGATAACTAACAAAGACATGATTCATTGGTTCTCTGAGTCCATCCCTGAGTCTTGGCCTGTCCGATGTCCACCTGGGCGTCGCCACGAGACTCTCAAGACGGGCCCAAAGATGGTGCTTTCGACGTCGCAACCTGGCTGTCGAGAATTGAGCACGCCATGTATGGAGTCTTAAGGGGGTTACCCTGCTAGATGGGAAAATGTTCATTCATTTTCATTCAAAATCCGAACATCAAATGGATGATGACTGGGGTACCACTATTTTTGGACACTTTCATTTCTCTCAAAATTCAATGCCCAAAAGCTGGTTCACAATAGATGTTTTCATTCATCGCAACGGTCAGGTGCCCGTCATGCGGAATTCATGGGCTGAGAATCGTGAGAATTCTGTCCACAGTGTGAGGAGGCTTGGGGATCGCTGTTGGATCGCCGGTCCAATGTCTATGTGATTATACCAGTGAAAGGGCAATTCTGCAGGGATACGGTGGGATACAGTACTTTTTGGCTGTCTTGTCTTTGTGTCTTGGTTCAAACTAGTCTGTAACTTGGTGGTTTGGGGTTGGTCTGATGAGGATAATCTCAATATTTGCAAACCTGCAAATCCTGCACTATCTGTCAGACGGCGAAAGATTCTGTGTAGGACAAACAAAGATAACATGCTATAGAAATGTTTCAAATCTTGCAAAGAGCACCTAGCCGCTTTGTATATATATATATACAAACAATGAATTCCTCTTGAAAGTGAGACTTGTCCACTTTGTTGTGTTGCAAATTCAGTGTTTTGTGCACACACCTCGGGGCCATGATTGGATTCTGTTTAGAGCAAACCCGATAGAAGAAGTCTTCTGCCAGTTACCACTTCACTACTTGGATAACTTTGAGGATTTAGAATTTCATGCCAGCAATAATGAAGCCCGCCAGCTATATGGATTTTTCTTGTTTACACCCATAACCATGTGATTTTTAAAGGATGGTTTCCTATCCCAAAATGGGGGTTGCCATTCCAAATTCAGCGCAGGCCGCAAAGTCTCTTGAGGGAATTGGACCTTCGCTTCCATCCAGATCAGGTCGAGTCGGCCGCCAGTTGAATTGATGACAAACAGTAGCCACATGGCGGGTTCCAGAAATGTTGGGAAACCCAAATCATTAGGTTTGACCAACAATTGTTCCAGTATGTTCCAGTCACTGAACTTTGTCACTTTGAAAGAACATTTTCTTTTTTGGAGAACCTCTGGAAATCATGAGACCACTGGGAATTCCAGGAGCGAAAGTACAAGCAAGGCCCCGCAGCCCAGCAGTTTGATCAAGTTGACCTCGCAAAAAAGACGACTCAGTCCATGGGAAATTTGTCCATCTCAGAGATTGCAGGTCTACAAGAAAATCTGGTTGTTGGAGGATTGGCTTGCATTGGGTCTGTGCCCAAGAAATACCTTTGTACATGAGCACGAGCTTGTTTGACTAAGATGTCTTGTCCGAGGTCTGCCACAGGTGCAACGCTCTTCGCGGTGGTTCCAACCTTCGTGCTTGGGTCTTTGATTCTTTGATGGCATGACGGTATGGTTTCGGGCACAAACTCTTGTTGGGAACATCAAGCACACATCCATGTTAGCTGCTTCTGCTTTGAGTTAACAGCGGTGCATTTTTTTCATCACATGATTTCAGCATCAAGTCTCCCAACTGGGAAGCAGTTTCACTTTGGGTTTGCCTGGGAAAATCTCAGCGACCCTTGGATCCAGCAATGACGTTGCTGGCTCCCTACTTGAAGAACCCTGCTCCCTGTGAGAGTCTGCCTGCTGGATTCCGCTCCTACCACGATTGCAAGCCTTTGGGACAGGAGGAACCCATCTGTCCAGGGCAGGCCTTCAACAGCTACGGCGCGTGGTTCCAAGCACACCAACCGAAGGAGGTAGCCCCATCCACCACAGTTCGAACGACCAAGGCTTCATCTTATTGGCCCTATGGAAGGGGTGTGACCAGCGTCATTGGCTCCCGCAACAACCATGACATCCTGATCATCGACAATGCACGCAGCCGGGGCACTCTGCCATACAGACCAAGGGATGCTGAAACTCAGAGGTCTGCGGTTTCACATGGGGAATGGTGGGAATTTAGAGATGAACATGGACATGTGAACCAAGATGGCAGACAATACAAAAATCTTGTTTGACAGAAACAGATAGAGTGGAGGATGACTAGCAGGAAAGACATTCTGATGAGGTTTCAGGCAATATGTTTTTATTTTACTAAAATAGGTGTGCCCATTCCATAGGTTTCAATACTAAAATGGTCTAAGTTTGAATGATTTGGGGGGTATCCCCATTTTGGGAAACCTCCATATGAGCCAACATTTACATACTCTCTAAACGATGCATTTCTGGATGCCAGTGGTCGAATCCTGCAGGGCATCCGCATCCAGCGGCACACTTCAACGCGCCGGATCGACTGCTGCCCTGATGGGCAGCAATCATGAGATGACTCTGCGTGCCAAGCGAGAACTGGGTGAGAAGCACTTCATGCAATTCGCCCTCTGATGTCTCACTCGGATCGCACCATGAAATCCATGGAACTCCGACCCCCTTGGTAGACAAAGGGCTGAAACAGGGGGGATCTGTGGCTTTCTGAAGACACTTGCAACGAATGATCTGTGGCTTCCCCCGGGTCCGTACAGATCGAGAAATTTTCGGCGCCACTAAGGCGTGAAGTGGCCAGAGAGGAGAAAGCCTTCGGAACTACCTTTGACGCACGCGCCTGGGTGCAGCCTGCTCGCTTAACGTATACGGGAAAAACTTCATGTTGCCGCTGCCACCGTACCAGCCTCTCAGATTCCTCAGATTCCTCAGATTCCAGGTCTTCTTGGTATGGGCATTGAATTTGCTTTTGATGCATCTTGGCGCAGAGCCGCCGTACGCTGGTTGCCGCTGGCTGTACGCTGGCTGGGACCTGGAGGTTGCACTGTTTTTTCGCGTCGGCTGTGTGAAGGTTGAGCTACATCCTCCTGAGCACCATCCGTCTTTGCCGAGGCAGGGAGTGGCAGGGCTCGAAACGCGACTGACCTCGACTGACCGTTGCCCGGAAATCAACACCCAAGAGATGGGATGGTTTGTTGTATGCTTTCAACGATGTTTTATCTTTAACAGCTTTAACAGATACAATCAGATACACCACTTCAACATACTTCAAGAACTAATGGCTACTAATGACCTGTGATATCTGGCTCCATTGGCTCCATGGATTGATGTCTGGGTCTACCAATAAAGAGAGCCCCATTTCTTGGGGACCTTAGAAACCGCGGTTTCTGAGGTCGGCTTCAGAGCTGGAACTGGGAAGCCTTCTTTGTGGTGGTCGTCAGCATCTTTCTCTTCTCCATGGTTTTCGCCAATTTTTGGCACCTACCTTTCATCGCAGGAATCTCAGAAGTGACTTGCATCACCTGAAGTAGGGCTTTCTTTACATAAATGATCTGTGACTTAAATATAGCATTAAATGGGGATGAGTCAAAACCTATGAGATACCAATCCACCAGCCGGTTCCCATGTGACTCTGGGTGTCCTAAGTTTTGATCTGTAGCCACACATCGGTCCGGTCTCATTAAAAACAGCCCATGGTCGGACTGGGAGGTTGGAGAAGACCCTGTCGGACTCTGGGTACACGATGCAAGAGGCCAGTTGCGACATGGCTGCGGAAGGGCTGCGGAAGCAGAAGGAAGCAGCAGTCGCAGTCTGTCGCCTGCAGTCGCCTGAAGTCTGTCGCGAGGATCGGACATTTTCATGCTGCTGGCCATTGATGGCATCCTCACAATGGCTCCAATCTTATGATATCTTATGATCCTGTGACAGTGATGAATTTGGGTGGTCACATGTGGCACATAAAAAATGGTTCTTTTCATGGTGAAGAACTGGATTTCAAGGTGGCGATGTATGCCTGGATCTTGGAGCCAAATTGACCTCGACATCTGCTGAGATGTTGGTGGCTGGCAGTCGTGACGTTTGAGGTGCCAGTCCGGTCATCTGTTCTTTGGATTCCATTTGTATGCGCGAGGAGCTCAGAGGTATATAGATCTTTTTACTTTGTGCGGTCGAAACATGTCGAAACACCACTACCCTCTGCCATATCACATGTCTTCCACAAGTGTACACATTTTAGGGGTTCCAGAAATGGAGGTATCCCCAAAATGCTTGGTTTATCATGGAACATCCTATTGAAATGGATGATGGATGGGGTACCCTCATTTCAGGAAACCTCCATGAAAAAGTCATCGAGTTTCCCCTCCAAGTTCATTCAGCTGGAGATCGTTCCGCGAGTACAGTGGACCGTGGCTATTTGGCTCCAAGTGTGAAGAAGCAGGTTCACCAAGATCGGCCTCCCCAATGGAGGCTTGGGATTCAAAATTCGCTGCAAATGTGTACGACTAGGGGGGCCCCCCTAGTCGTAGCAATTTTCATGGGAACATCATGACCAACCTTTTTTTTGGCATTCTTTCACCATGATTTTCAATTTTATATACCTATTGAGAGAGAGAGAGAGATTACCAGATGTTCTTGGTGGTTCTGAAAATTGGTGCTCTTTGTATCCCATTTTCATCATGGGACCATCATGATAGTCCAATGATAGGACTCGGAGTTGGGAGTACATTTCTATAATGTGGGTAAAACAATGTCATTAAAAATGTACATTAATAAATTGCCATTAATAATCTATATATGCCATTAATTTTTACCACCCCCCAAAAATGCCATAAATCAACCATTCCCAGTCATGGGTGGTTGATGATTGTTTTACCCGAAAAAGCCTATTTTCGGGAGCCATGGGAGACCCCGGCCGTTCGTTCATGAGGAGAGTGCTGGTCCTGTCGCTCCGTACTCCAGGAGCCGTTCGGATCGCACGGGATGCGGATGAACGCACCCTGATATCCCATGATATTCCAGTGATATTATATATATATATATTATATTATATTATATATTATATATATTATATATAATATATAATATATATAATATATAATATATATATATTATATTATATATTATATATATAATATTATATATATATATATATATATTATATTATATACATATTATAATAGATATGTGCACATATATAATATTGTAGTAGAGATGTGTGTATATATATATCTATTATAATAGATATGTGCATCTATAAATAAATTATAATAGATATGTATATCTATCTATCTATCTATCTATCTATCTATCTATCTATCTATCTATCTATCTATCTATCTATCTATCTATCTATCTATCTATCTATCTATCCTACCTATCCTACCTATCCTACCTATCCTATCTATCCTATCTATCCTATCTATCCTATCTATCCTATCTATCCTATCTATCCTATCTATCCTATCTATCCTATCTATCCTATCTATCCTATCCCTCCTATCTATCCTATCTATCCTATCTATCCTATCTATCCTATCTATCCTATCTATCCTATCTATCCTATCTATCTATTATAATCAATATGTGTATCTAGATATATCTCTATATATATATATATGTATTAAAATAGATATGTATATATATATATATACGCATGTATAATTATATGTATATATATATATACATAATGTAACAATGTATGTGTACATATAGACGATCAAGAACAAGAACTGGTTATATGAGTTTGTCTCATACTGGGGCATACTCCAATAATGGCATTTCAATGGGTCAAAACGATGATCATACACAAACATGATGATACGGTAAATCCATTGTATCGGGTAGCCGATGTTTGGACACTGCTGCAAGACACAGGGAGGAAGTCAACCACCGATCAGGAGGCTTTGATCCCTTTGATCGGAATGCCTTCGCAACACTACCAATTCCAGAGTAGCGACCCCAGAGAAATTCACCCATTTGTCAAATCTTCGTCAAATGTTCCGCACGATGCTGAAACTTCTGACGAAATTGTGATGTTTTGTACAGGATTGCGGTCTGTGGTCGTACTTTCTGGTGTCCTGCCCCCAGATCCGCGGTTCGGTCAGTGGCCATTGATTTTTGTCAGCGACTTGTATTGCCAGGTTCTTCTGGCGAAGATCGCTACCTCCGAACGCAGCTGGGGCGATCTGCACATCGATGGGGATAGGCAACGGACTGTAAAGAGATGTTTCCTGAGAGTGCTGTTGCAGCCGGATTTGATTGGACATGAGGTTACCCCCAAATCCCACGGTAAATCCCATGGTAAATCCCATGGTTTGTATGTCAATGTGACCATTGACAGTGTTTTTTTGGGTATCGCCCTCTTTTTGGTGAAATCCAGAAGCGCCCCTGAAACAAAAAAACCTTTGCTCCAGGAGCTGGCAGACCACCACTCTGCCTGAGTCGGAAGGCATTCGGCGATTGGCGAAGGGATTGATCCAACATGGGCATGGGTTGGATCCAGTGCGGTTGGATCCAGTCTGACTGATCCGTTGTGGTTTTTGTACTCGTTTTACTATACCCTCTGGTAATTTGTTACATAGCTATGGAAAATCACCATTTTTAATGGGAAAATGGGAAAAACCACTATAAATGGCCATTTTCAATAGCTACGTTAAATTACCAGAGGGTAGTTCATGTTTGGGACGTAGGACGTCCCAGGGATGCAGGGGATCCCCTTTCCGCGAAAAACATGGGCCGGGCCTTCGAGGTGAAGAGACATCGAGCCCGGGCTCGCAGGGCTCGATCGCCTATGCGGCGCTCCATGCACGGACCGAAGCCTTCCTGAAGGCATCGCGCAACTACCAAGTTGCTGTGAAGGGTCCCTTGATGGATGCCACCGATGTCTATCTGCAACAAAAGGCCTGGGCGCTTTTTAAAAAATGGCGGTGGGCTGTGGTCTGTGTGGTCTCTTGGATTTCTCCAGAAAATAGGCTACAACAAAATCCACTGATTTATATATATATATATACATGTATTTGTTTACTGTATATGAATTTATCATCATTTCTCATCTGAAATGGAATTTTGGATCCTCCATTCCTGGACCCCATGTGATTTGGTGCAAGGAGAGATACGAACACTTCGCCCACAATCTGGACAAGGGGGAAAGGCAACAGCACAAGTTGATCCATATGATGCGCTCGAGCCTACGGAAACATCATGGGTAGCTTGGTGGCACCGGCGCTGGCACTGTTCTGATGGCTTTTCCACTGCATCTTTTTGTTTGTTTCTCTGGGCCTTGAAAAAAGGCACAAGATGGAAGAATTTCAAAAGACTTTAGAAGCTGAAAGAGCGGAAAAGAAGGCAACAGGTGCACGTTTTACATCGTTTTACATGATCTCTGGACTTTCTTGCTCTTTGTGCCAACTGTGCCAACGATTCCCAGTGTTTGTGAAGGCGAAGATGAGAACGAAGACGAGGAGATGTGATTGAAAATCACATCGCCTTTCAGTGGGTTGCCATGCAAAGTCAGCAACTGCCTGCTGGAAAACTGCTAGGACGAAGATGAGGATAGCCACTCGCTTGCAATTTTGATGGCAGTGGCCGCCAGTGGCCCAGGGAAGGCCTCCTCTAACTCACTAGAACTGCCAGGTGATGAGGCGGAGGATTCAACGGAGGCAAGCTTCATTCTGATTTGGGCTTGAGTAGCAACGGGACCGAATGCGCAGATGAGTATCCAGTATCCACAACCAGAAGGAATCCATCATTTACCAGCTATTCTGATGTTTGTCTGAACATTGAGTACCCAAATGTGATGGTCAATATTGGTCTATCATCTTAGAAACATATTTTATAGCAAATTCATGGGTATACCAGGCTATGGTCACTCTTCAGACAAACCGATTTTGATGGGTCCGGGATGCGGCAACAGAACCCACCTGGGGATGTTTCAAAATGGTCATTTTCAATTTTCGGAGCATGATGATTCTGATAAACCAGCAACTTTGGGGGTATCCTCTGTTAATTTAACGTAGCTATTGAAAATGGCCATTTATAGTGGATTTTCCCATTAAAAATGGTGATTTTCCATAGTTATGTTAAATTACCAGAGGGTATCCTATTTTCAGAGAAACTCACTATGGTCGAGCCGTCCAACTTTGCGCCGAAGGAAAGTGGAGACTCAGGGTCCACGGAATCAGAGGGTGAGGCGAGTGCTGTGCTGATTTTTGTTTGGCGCGCCTCGGATTCAGTCCACTTTTGTGGTTCTGTTTTTTAATTTTTTAAACGCCAATTTTTGCTGTTCTGCTGTGTGAAGTGGTGAGTTCCGTATAAACAACTTAATTATGGCACCTTACGTTTTAATATCCACTGACAGGAAGGCAGAGAGGAAAGAAGCGATGAAAGCGCTCCCCCAGCGGATTCGGACAGCAAGGCCTTTCATTTCAACAGCCCAACTGACCATTGTGTGGAACTCACTAGTGGGCTGCACTGAGATAGCTGTTGCTCGTGGTTCAGGGACTCCTTTCTTACGCTAGAATGGAAATGGGGAAGCATCCTGTAGTTCCATTTTCTCTGAAAGGAGAACAAGGATGAACGCGAGAAAAAAAGCAAAGAATCTGCTGCTCCCAATGCCAACAGTGAGGCTGTGCGGGTTTCGCAGCAGAGAATGACTTTGTACATGGCGATCGGCGAAGCATGTTACAATCCGACTCAGACAATCCGCCTGCTTTCACATGTGTTCAGAGAAGCCAGCACTTGCAACAGGAACATCACGAGACTCCTGAGAACGCAAACAGTGAGGCTGTGTTGTTTCTTTGCTGTGAATGACTTCCAGAATTTTTGGACAGATGCTGATTGGCGAAACATGTGAGAATCTGACTCAGACAATCCCCCTGCTTTCACATGCATTCAGAGAAGCACGCGCTTGCGAAAGGAACACCACGAGAATCCTGAAAAGGAATCGAAAGCCAAGGTCAGAGACTCTTCCGTTGCGGTTGGGCATGATCTAACTGTAGGTATGGGTTTTGTGCACAAGAAGCTCGAGTGTTGCATTCTTGCAGTCAGCTTGTTCATTTTTCAGGTTTCTTCTTTTCAGTTTTGAGTCTGGAGAGCAAGGATGAAAGTGAGAAAAGAAGCAAAGAATCTGCTGCTCCCAATGCCAACAGTGAGGCTGTGCGGGTTTCGCAGCAGAGAATGACTTTTGCACGTGGTGTTTGACGAAGCATGTTACAATCCGACTCAGACAATCCGCCTGCTTTCACATGTGTTCAGAGAAGCCAGCACTTGCAACAGGAACATCACGAGACTCCTGAGAATGCAAACAGTGAGGCTGTGTTGTTTCTTTGCTGTGAATGACTTCCAGAATTTTTGGACAGATGCTGATTGGCTAAACATGTGAGAATCTGACTCAGACAATCCCCTTGCTTTCACATGCATTCAGAGAAACAAGCACTTGCAACAGGAACATCACGAGAATCCTGAAAAGGAATCGAAAGCCAAGGTCAGAGACTCTTCCGTTGCGGTTGGCATGATCTAACTGTAGGTATGGGTTTTGTGCACAAGAAGCTCGAGTGTTGCATTCTTGCAGTCAGCTTGTTCATTTTTCAGGTTTCTTCTTTTCAGTTTTGAGTCTGGAGAGCAAGGATGAAAGCGAGAAAAAAAGCAAAGAATCTGCTGCCCCCAATGCCAACAGTGAGGCTGTGCGGGTTTCGCAGCAGAGAATGACTTTTGCACATGGTGTTTGACGAAGCATGTTACAATCCGACTCAGACAATCCGCCTGCTTTCACATGTGTTCAGAGAAGCCAGCACTTGCAACAGGAACATCACGAGACTCCTGAGAACGCAAGCAGTGAGGCTGTGTTGTTTCTTTGCTGTGAATGACTTCCAGAATTTTTGGACAGATGCTGATTGGCGAAACATGTGAGAATCTGACTCAGACAATCCCCCTGCTTTCACATGCATTCAGAGAAGCACGCGCTTGCAAAAGGAACACCACGAGAATCCGGAAAAGGAATCGAAAGCCAAGGCCACAGACTCTTCCGTTGCGGTTGGCCATGATCTAACTGTAGGTATGGGTTTTGTGCGCTGCACACAATGACGTCCAGCATGAACACTATTTGTGCACCATCTACGGTGTCTTCTCTGGACAGGAACAGAAGCTGTCCGGAAAAGAAGCAGATGTATCCAAGGCGAGATTTGTTTTCTCCCTGTTTTGCCAGGCTTGAAAGCTGATGCCGCTGGAATCAGTGGAGATTATCATAAAATCCAGCAAGAAAAAGCAGTAAATTTGATCAGTATGGTGACCACATCATACAAAAAATGATGGTGATCAAATTTTACTAACTAACATAGCCACATAATGCCACATAGCTATCAATTTATTCTCCGTACATCCATGGTGCACCGAAACAGGGATGTGATGCGCGGCGAAAGGCCAAACAAGGCAGGGTATCATGGGGTCCCATGGGGTCCCATGACCTCCATGGCGTGACGGCCCAGGGCTAAGGTCTGAAGCCATGGCCCAGTCGAAATCGTTGATTTACCCATGAAAAATGGTGATTTTTTCCATAATTAGATTAACTAGTTATGTGAAAGTTTACCA